CTCTCTCTTTTGCTGGTTCCTTTTTATCTGTTCTTCTCATCCATCCATCCATCCATCCATCCATCCACCCACCCACCTATCCATCTGTCCCCACATCCTTCCTCATTCTTTCTACAATCAATTGGACAGGGGGCTGAGCCCTGATGTGACAGGGATAGGGGCGGGAAGGAGAAAAACAGGACAAATGCCCAACAGCACCTGGTCATAACACTGAAAGGAAAGTGGGGGGGTGGGGGATTGAGGTAGGACTTTCTGTGCTGCCCCCACCCCACCTCCATGCTGAAGATCAAGACATGCCCATAGTCCTTTCTGAGGTTGCTGCACGGCCTTGCTTACTCCTTCGTTCCTGGAGACCACTTGAGGGGCTCCTTCTTGCCCACCAGCCACATCTGGCTACCTCCCCTTCAGCCTTCACTGCAGCTCTCACCCCTATGTCTACAATGACCCTGGAGCCTGTCCCCAGATCTGCTGGACTGGACTCACCCCTGTGCTCCTTTCCCTGGATGGGCCCCTCCCCATCCCCATTGTGCCCAGTATTATGGGCCTCTCGGCCCCAGCTGGATGGGGCCATCCCTGGCCAGCTCCGCATACCTGGCTCTGAGGCATATAAGATTTGTGTGGGGTGGACTGGACAGAGCAGCAGCTCCTGGCAGACATTTCTTCTGTTCTTCTGCTGCAGGGAGAATGAATAGGATTGGGCAAGTGAGGGCTTTCCAGAATCTCGGGAAGGCAGGGAGAGTTAAGATCTGAGATTGAGCTGGCTTTGGAAGGTCCCTCTACAGACAACTTTTCTAGGGGGTGAGAGTAAGTAACATGTTTGCCAACTTATTCCCTTGCCAGTGAAGGTCAGAACTGGAACTCTGGTCCCCTCACTTCCCACCTGCTCCTCCCAGACAGGGATTTCCCATGTGGAGCAGATCAGATCAGGGACCAAAGGAACAGACACTCTGACCCACAAAAGTTCAGTAAAGGTTCACCCATCCCAGAGGTAGACGCTTGGAATGCCAGCCACCCATGATTCAGAGGATCACCAGCCTGGGAACTACTTAAGGACATTTAATAAAATCAAGTAAATGAAAACAAAAACTCTAGAGGTGAAAGGAACAGTATAAGCTTTCCCCCCTCTAGAATGAGCCCAAAGAGCTTACTTTAAAAATCTTAATTCTCAGTGTTTTCCCTCTATTTTTATCATGTTCTGAAATGATGGGATATTGAAATGTATATGTTAAGTATCAAGCTTTTTTTCAGTGCTTCTCTGCCCCATCTAGAACCATCCTGGGGCAATATTGGGCACTAAGAGATGTTTTGCGAATTACCATCCCTTTCTGAGAGCCCAGTATTGGGACAAGTGCATGGGCTGTAGACTTGCCTCAAATGCGCCCTACCTTGGTGTCAGGGGCAAATTTCTCAACCCCTGAGCCTGGTTTATCGTGTTAAAAAGAGGGAAACAGCTCCTCTAATCATCCTAATGGGACTTCAGACACTCCCTTTCTCCTGTTCCATCTCCAAATCTGCTCCTCCTCAAGGCCTGATATAACTATCGTAGCCCACACTAGTGTTAATGACTAATGTTCATAACATTAGTAATTAATAATAATGTTGTATTTGCATTTTAAGAAGCATCCATTGGAGCAGTCCTTATGAGCTGTATCTCTCCAGAGGCAATGAGATATAGCTCAGTTAGTGGGGGTGAGATGGAGTGAGGTCTTTAACTCTGTCTAGGTAGCTGCCTAGACTTTTCCCCCCAAAGCTGACTCTGCATTTAACATTAACATAAATTTGCCCTAACTGGTTTGCTCAGTGGTTAGAGTGTCAGCCCATGGACTGAAGGGTCCTGGGTTTGATTCCCACCAAGGGCACGTACCTTGGTTGCAGGCTGGACCCCAGGTCGCGGTCAGGGTGAGTTCAGGAGGCAACCAACCAAGGTGTCTCTCACATCAATGTTTCGCTCTCTCTCTCTCCCCCTTCCACTCTCTCTGAAGAGCAATGAAAAATACATCAAGTGAGGATTAAAAAAAAAGTAAAAAAAGATTAACTGCAGGCTCCATTCCCAGCAGGGGGTGTGCAGGAGGCAGCGGATCAAGGACTCTC